AAACGTTGTATAGTTTTCTCAGTTAAGTTTCTAAGTATTTAATTTAAAATTTTACATAAAACATTTAGTAACATATCTGGGAAACATTTTATAAATGCTAAAATTTATTTAAGTAAATATTATATAATATACACAATTTTATTTCATGTGAAATCTTAATTATTGGACTGTTTTCACTTAAACGCCCACATTATTCAAGGCTAAAGCAAAGAAAAAGACAAATTATTTACAGATAACTTTTTTACAAAGTCGCCTTTTTATTACACAATTGTAATTTCATTTGGAATGCGAAGATACAATGTATTTAAATAAGACAGTTCTAGGGTTCCGCGTCCAATAAATACTATGTCCTGCGATTTTTAGTAGGTATCTAAAATGTAGAGATTAATGTTTATGATATTAGAATTATTAATTAATTATTCGTAGACTGTCGGGACATGTTGTGTCTGCTTAGTAATTACAGATTATATTTTTTAAATTATATATTTTGATTTTAGATTAATTTTCTCTTTGAAAAAGTTGTTCAGTTTCACAAATTTTGTTACTATATTTATGTTTTTGTTAATATAAGTCGAAATGAAGAACTTAGTGACAGTTTATCTAATAGAATAACCGTCGCCTACTGATATGAACAGTATCAGGGAACTCAATGAACAATGTCAATATAGATAGATTGGATTTCATTTCGCAACAAGCAGTTTTTTTGCTTCATCAAGAAAACAGCTTCAATTATCATAAAATTAATACAGAACCAACATGGGAGTAAACCCTGTTAATTGAAAAAAAAAAGAATTATTAAAATTTATTCAGAATATTAATACAACCACAAAAAAATCTGTGGAATTGAGCATTTCCTTTTGAAAATTCTATAAATTTTTTCAATATTGTTTTTATATAAAATACCTACGGAACTTTGTCCACTTACTAAAAAATCTGTCTATCTCCATCGTATATCATCTGTCTCTGTCATACGTCAAATGAACACAGCTCTGTGCCGTTTCAACGTGATGACAACACTCACAACACCGAATAAATTGTATAATATTTATCATCATGCCGCTTTGTCAAGTTATTATTGTAGACAGGCACGTGTAATATTTTCATGTGTTAGATATGAATTGGTTTTTAACCGTCTCCAAAATATAAGGTGGCTCGTAAACACAATTCTAAAGGAGATCTTAAATCTAAAGGAGATTATCAATTCGTTTTATTTTATATAGCCATATTATACAATTAGTTCGCCAATTCGAAACAAATTTTCAGAATTATTTTCAAAATCAATAGAGTTTTCTGTGTTTAATATGTAGGTCCCGTATTAAGTTTGTGACGACCACAGCTGCTGTTTTCTTAACAAAGCAGAAAACTGTTTATATCAACGCAAAATTTACTTATACAAACCTGTTTTATATATTTATATGCTTTGTGATAAACATACAATTTTCTGTTTTAAATTCAAATATATTAAATTTAATATTTTTACGAAATATCATTCATCAGTGCGTGTATATTCACAAAGTTGTAGTTACTTGTTTGACAATTAAAATGTTCTTGTGATATTTATCTAAATGTATTTGTTCTTACTGATCGTTAGTGTAACTATGTACCTGATTTGTAATTAACCAAAACCAGAATTGGTTTTGTCGAAACCTATGTCCAGCTCGTCACTATTCAATCAACAGGAACCGGTTGACGTTGGTCAACTGTGTCAACTAGCTAATTAATCAATTCGATCCAGCAAGTGAGCTGTGCAGTATTAGGATGATGTATTTTTTTTAAACTGAAGTATGTTCACTGTAAGTCAAAACTTTAAACTAAATTTTTGTTAGGGTTGACTTTATAATAATATTTATATGGTATTAATATTAGCAGGGTTCATAAAAATAAAGTTCATTATTGACAATAAAAATTCTCATTATTTCTGTTTTTAAAAACCAATAATAAAACCCCTAGGTTTGTAGCGAGTTAGTCTGTCTCCCTTTATGTGTTTTATTGTTCGTCTATTAAAATGTGTTTTTGGAAGAGTTATTTAACAGATGTCATTAACGAGATATTTTTCGACAGGGAATGTAACCTGATATCCTAAAACGGAAATAGTCGTGTACAATTTGGTTTATATTCATTTATTTTAACATTCATTATATAAATAGGTAAGTATCTAAGGTATAATATTTTATTTGGTTTTATATTTACTTTTCAACTTGCTTAGGTTTTGGAATCATCTATTTGTCGAGGCTTTAGTTATATATAAAGAGACATAATCTACATCTCTTCAAAAATAAAAAGACAAGGAGATATGTATAGATCTTCACAAAGTGCGTAATAATAAGGATTTGTTCAGAGTCAGAGTTTGTGATACCCTTAATGTTCAGGCTTAATGTTTCCGACAATTGTTTCGACTCCATCCGGAAGTTTTCTTCAGGGCGAGTGTGGTGCTTACGTTGTTGGGTCGCAGCGTGTGTCTTATTTCGCACGCCTATTAATGTTTATAAACATCAAAGTATTTTGCATAGAAATGCTAATAATTGTCGTAACTGGTAAGCCAAGTGGTATTCGTTGAGTAGTTATGTATTTAAAATTACGGTTCTTCATTTACTATTAATTTCAATGCAAGATTTAATAGGAACTTATTTAAATAATGACTTTTTTATATAACTCTCTTTTTGTCTATATATATATATATATATATTGTTACTGTATAATCTATGGTTGCTGCAAGGATTGTGAAGTGTGGAGCAAATTGCGCCGACTTACCAACCAGCAGCTACATTCACATCATTCGTAATATTTTACTGGAATTATATACCGTCATCTCTTCTTTTCATATATATACAAAAAATATTGTAAATTTATATATTTCCTTTGCTTACGTATTAAAATTATATCCAAATCAAGGACATATTCGTTCTTACTACAAACCCAGTAAAGTAAATTTGGAATTGCCCAATTTGCAAGGGAAAACCAATACACGAATGCTGAAATATACATTTAGAACGAGAATTACAACTTTTTTAAAAATAAAACGATATGTGTTATTGAAAAATTCTATGTATTATTACATTTTAATTTTTTTTTTATAAAAAAACATTAAAATATATTTATTGTTTTTTAATATTTATACTTTGTGAAGAGTTTATTTATTACTATTCTAATATAAAGTATATTAAGAGAATTTGGCAACGTAAATCGTTGCCAATCAAAGCACTCCCTTTGGTTTTGTTGCAATACCGAAATACCAGCTTCCAGTTTATACAAGTATCGTACTGAGCTATTGAATCAGCGGGCGTTCGATCGGTCAACTGACCAATTAATTAACGACCGACCGCGCAAGTTTTACAAGATTACCCAATCATTTGCTGTTTTACGTTGCTTTTATACTAAAAATTTTTAAAGCCTAAGTATTTTTATACTTATACAATCGAGGTGGAATAGAAACAATATTGTTAAGCGGAAAAATCGGGATTTCGTAAAGTGAGAACAATTGTAAATTTTTATTGTCATATTAATCATTAATAATCATATCATTAAATATCACAAAGCTTATTGCCTGATTCTAAAATTGCAATATTTTATTATGAGACAAATGGGCGAAAGAACACATGAGGTGACCTAAAATAGCAATAAGAGAAACTAAAGGTTTGTTTCATGAATTGGTCTAACCGAAAATTTCTTTCTTTCCATTTATGTGAAAAATATATAATAAAATAAATATATATTATCTATATTTGTTGTTATTTAATGTAGGTACATACAAATAAAATTATTATCTACCTATTTATAATAAAATTTTATTTCATAAAAAAAATACTTCAATTGTGGCAGAACAAATATTGATTTAAAAAAGAAATAACTAAACTGATTTTATTACAATTAATATTTTATTATAAAGGAATAAAATTTCTATAGGATTACAGATTAGTCTTTTCAGATAAAAAAAAATCCAAATCGGTTTACAATTGTCGGAGTCATGTGGTAACAAACATAAAAAATTACAACAGAATTGAAGAACCTTCTTTTGAAGTCGGTAAAAAAAAGAAACAAGACTTTTTTTCATCAGAGATTTTATAGAAAATATTAAATTGCAAAAACTATATATTATGTTAGTCTCGATTACAAATAAACTCATGAGTCCAGTTTTATGAATCGAGGCATTGAACTACAAAACATAGTCACGTCATTCACAATTGAATGAACAATGATACTTGTATAATTAATCGATTAAAAACTCACTGAATAAGTCAAGTTATTTTTTTCAAACAATTCACAATGGCGTGAATTTATTGCTAATAACAGATTTGTTGAAGTTTTCAATTACCGGTAATTATAAAATGTTGTCAGTCACGTAATACTGTTTAAATACTCTGTTTGTATATTAGTTGGATTTACGTCATTTTGTTGATTTTTTTTTCAAATACGTATACAATACACACTCGCTAAAAACTTTAACAACTTTGCAACCTTTTCTCCCATCTCATCCCGTCTTTTGTGGATACCTAAAAACTGTTAAATTGGAATTTGACTAAACAAACAAAGAGCTGGAATATAGAATAAAACATTTATTTTATAAATACAAAAAAAAATGCCATTCATATATAACTCTCATTGTTGAGGGAAAAAGATATTGTCATTATTGAGGATTGGTAATTTCATTACTAGCAATACCAAATTCCTAATTAAATCGACTTCTACGTGGTTTTCCATGAAAATCATTGTGATTAATTTATTGTTGAATTTGTCACGATGATCAACTGACTAGCTTTATCCTCATCCATCATTCCTCATTGGTAGCCCCCCAGTGTATATTGATAGCGCAGGTGGAATTATTATCCATAAAAAAAAAATGCTCAATGTTGTAATGAGATTATACACTACATCGTGATTTTGTTGCATTTACGTAATCAATGATGCATCTCTTATATGACTCAATAAAATTAGATATAAGTGTGTCGGTGGATGTATTATAAATAGTGATTATTAATAGTGTATAATTTTCTTCATTACAGGTACGACAACGACGCAAGCGGACAATAATTGAGAAAATAACAGTTCTCAGTCCCGTCGAGGATATAGAGGCACATTCGATTACAACTCGCGTGTTAGAAAGGTCATATTACAGAAGTCACGCGGCAGCGGCAGATAAAATGGCACTTCATTTGAAAAGGAAAAAATAAAAATGTGATAATAATATCAAATTTAAAAATATATCTTTAAAAAAAATGTTTGCGAAACAAAACCGTTTTTGGGATAGGAGAAAGGGTAAAATTGCACGATGACGCCACGATACCGGTTTAACGATTGTATAAAATAATTGACACAAATTATTATTTTAGGTAAACGCTTCACTAGTACACTAGGATTGCTTTTTTGTGTGTTGCCGTTCGTGACGCGTGTGTGCGATTAAGGTATTTTTCTTTTGCGTATTATATAAGTTATTGGTATAATTTTCGGTATCGTTACATTATTTACTGTATTTTTTTTGTCGCTGTCCAGAAGCAATATTAGGTAAGAGGCCTTTGTATACTGCACGCGTTTCGATTATTTGTTTATAAATTGTAAATAATAACATTAAAATAATTTAAAATTTATCTCCACTAATTAGAATTGATATCGGTACGTGATTAAGGTAATCTGTATATAAATATTACGACTTTTATCGATTATTCAATGCTTTGATATTAGTCTTCGCATAATATAGTTCGGAAAAAACGGGTATTAAATTTAATTGTGTAAAAATTATCCGCTGTAAAAATAGTTAAAATCTTTAAATATTTGAATATATAATATTCCGTTCCTATAGGCAATACGATTTTAATAATTTGAACCGTGCAATGTTTTTATTCTAAATAATAGTTTTCGTATTCACATTACGGGGCCAAATAAGTCTACTTTCGAATCTCAAGTTTTATAAACAATAAACAACAAATCGTGTAGTTAGTTTAATTCGTTAATCTGTCGTTAAAAACCGGTACTGCCGTTCTTAGCCTCAATAATATAGATACCAAGATGGTACCAAACGCTACAACTCTGTTGGCCGCAAAGACGACGATGAGTACACACTTCAATGGAACACTTGGGTTGAATTCCACGTTCCTAGTTCCAACATACATGAGCCAGGAGGAATTTCTGGCGTTGCAGATGACGAATGCGTCGGACGCCAATACAACAGTGTCGAACGATACCACAATCAACCAAGTGGTATTAAAAACCTGGTACCCCAGTGGGTATTCGCCTGCGCACATCATTATTGCTTCAGTGGTTGTGACAGTGCTAATGATAATGGTGGTTGTAGGTAATATGTTAGTTATAATAGCAATTGTGACAGAAAAAGCATTGAAAAATATACAGAATTGGTTTATAGCGTCCTTAGCAGTGTCAGACTTTTTCTTAGGGTTAGTGATAATGCCGTTTTCACTCGCTAACGAGTTAATGGGCTACTGGATTTTCGGGTTTTGGTGGTGTGAGATACATTCAGCCATGGATGTGTTGTTGTGTACTGCTTCGATTATGAATTTGTGTCTTATATCGTTGGATCGATATTGGAGTATCACGCAGGTATGTGAGTTTTTTTTTATGAATAGAATAGAATAGACTTTAAAATTTATAATTTTTTTTTCCAGTAATTTAGGATAGAGTGAAGCCTGGAACAATATTAAAAATTTGGTAGATATTAGTAATTTAATTATAAAGAACAGAGATAAAATCGATGATATTAGTAACTTTATAAGAAATATTATTAAAGATAACGTTACTACTATGAACTAAGTGACCATTTATCGGTAAGTTTTTATTAGTAATGAAATATTTTTTTAGACATGGTAAAACAACTCTTATGACATATTTTACAATAACATTCTCCTCTCTGGTATTACTTGACGAGTCTTTGAGAATAAAAGTGTTTTATTATAATCAATCGGCAATGTGAGCAACGTAGTAATAAAAGAATATAAACAATTTATTTAAATAAAACCTTATTACCTATTTCAATTAGGTAGATCGTCAACACCTTTTCTATTTCCGAAAATACATATAAAATAACCATTGTGCTGGACAAGCGTTTTAAAAAACCATTTTGAAGTAATGATCGTTATTATGGAAAGTTAGAAAAGAACTTGCAACTTATTTTCCAATCGGAAACTATTAGTCAAAATCGCATAATACCGTCCATCCGAAAATTAATTCCGAATTGGATTGTCCACTGATTCCGATGAATATTGAATACCCGATTTGCCATTTCCAATAGTCCAAACCACTATGAACCAGTATGTACAGGTTCCTGTCAGTTCAGGGCAGTTCAAAACAGCTTAATGCCGGTTCCTTGGAGTTTATTCTAATCTGTTGTAAAGCAAAAATAAGAGGCCTATATAAATGTTAAAATAAAGTAATGTTTCATTTACTTTAAGTAAATATAAATTTAATAAATTTTGAGAATAAAATTTAAACGTTTACCATATATGAAACATATGTGCACGTTCATGACATATTTCTAATATTATGATAACGTAATAATAATAATACTGTTGAATATTAGGCAAAGTTTGAGGGCAGGTATTTAACATTTATCTAGATTTAGGTAAGCTTATTAGAATCCAAAGCACTAGGGGGTGAATATAATGTCCTTTCATGAATTGATTAGGTTCATTAACTGTGTTTATTATATATATATATATATATATATATATATATATATATATATATATATAGGGACAAATCACACAGATTGAGCTAGCCCCAAAGTAAGTTCGAGACTTGTGTTATGGGATACTAACTCAACGATACTATATTTATAATAGATACATATATAGATAAACATCCAAGACCCAGGACAATCAGGAAAAGATCGTTTTCCATCATGACCTGGCCGGGGATCGAACCCAGGGCCTGCACGTCGCAGGCAGGCGTGTTGACCGCTGCGCCATGGAGGACGACAGTACGAGACATAATTTATGCCATGTGACATTCTATACTGTAAATCGTTTTTCTATGTATATTTATTTACCATCTTCATTTGTTTTCTGTATTGCGATTGCTTACTATTATTATTTATTTATTAACTCCTAACTATGCTCCTAAATTCATGGAATAAATAAGTTTTAAATAAAATGATAAACATTGAAGAAAATGGTGTCTGTAAAAAATATCTTTATAGAATAAATTAATTAATGACAAATCGTCTCATGCTTTAAATTATTGGAAATTTTTATTGTATAGCAAGTTAAAAAGTAATGCAACGGTATTAAATGCTTACTTGAATAATCGAGTTAAAATCATAGATTGAAAATACAGATCAAATACTCATTATTATTTTTCAACCATTTTATATTTAACACCTTAACCTTTCAATTGAATATTTTCCGCATCAAAATGTAATTCTCTTACAGCTACTCGAACAGTAAAGAAAGCTTTGTATTTTCTTTGAATTGAAATGTACGTCAATAATACACTTTGCTGCTAAAACGTTGTTCTACTATTCTACTTTAATCGAGTGCACTACATAAGCTTCACAAACGGATGTGCGATTAACGATTCTTCGACAATCACTTTAACCTATTGATTTTATCAAAGAGTTTTGTCGTCCTACATTTTAGTTTTGCTTTAATACATATGAATCGAGAACATTGCTTTTATTTACCCTGGTTGCGTCGAAGTAGAGTTAAGTATATTTTGTCGGTCGTAATGCTGCTGGCAGGGACAGGGTAGCAACTGGACTGTATCTTATCATGTTTATTGCTATTGAGGTTAAACTTCTGTGCATTTTATGCCACGTGTTGTATTGTTCTATTTCTTTTCTAATCTTACATGTAATTTATTTCTGCAGGGTAGAATTTTGATTACATTACTGTTTTATAAAATTTGCCCATTTGTAAACAGTATCGTGAGTTCGAAGCTAAAAGGTAGGTCAGGCTAGTTGCTTATTTTATCGTAGCCATTGTCCGTTCACCGTTTTACATAGGCCTCCCCGATTGACTGACATAAAGAACGGTCCTAAGTCTGCATCCATTAACTCCCTGTAATACATCTGAGGTCGTCACATGTCGTTATGTCCATGGTACTGCTCATGTCTATAGTTGACGGGTACCACATTTCATCAAGCGGGCCGTAAGCTTGTTTGCCATTTTAAGTTGAATAAAAAAAGTGATGAAAACATGAACTTTAGCAGAGAAAATATATTTATTGTACAGTGACCAAACAAGAACACATTGTCAAAAGATACAATCTGCATACCTTCTATTCGTATTTTTTTTAATCTATGGTTTTTACTTTCACTTTTGCGTAGACTTTATGACCTTCGTGATTAGGCACATGTTTATTTAGACCATTTGTTAACGTATTAGCTACTCATCAAAACAAAATTTATCTTAATATATAGGCAGTATATAGGTAGTAGGATATATATCTGATCTCGGATCTTAAAGGTCACAAGAAGGTGACAACCCCATCGAAATTGAAGTCGGGTTCGTTTAATTTAGTTAATTAAATTAAACGATCCCAATTTCGATACGGTTACCATGTTTTATTGCAAAGTTCCTATCTACATGACAGTTACAGTATTGGATAATGATATCATTGCATTGTCAACAAAGTTTAGCACGATCGAATGTCAGTAAATGCTTCAAAAATAAATTGTATTTATGTATCGAATTGATATGCCAACATAATCTATCTATATAAAATCGTTTCTCCTCATACGGTTTTGTATAGATAGATTATGTTTTTATGATTATTTTGTTATTATGACAACACCACAGGGGTTAAAAACTTGAAATTTCGGAAGTTGATGCATTATATGATGTAAACATGCACTAAGAAAGGATTTTTGAAAATTTCACCTCTAACAAGATAAAATAAGGAATGTATATATATTCTTTATTGCACTTTAACAAAAGATATCTACAGTGATTAGTTTAACAACTTGTTAGCAAGGGTAGGCTTATCTCTAAAAGAGATCTCTTCCAGCCAACCCAGAATTGGTTATGTCGAAACCTATATCCAACTTGTTACTATTAAATCAACAGGAACCGGTTGACGTAGATTGTATTATTGTATGGAAACTCATCGTTTTTGAAGTTAAAAGCATGAAATTTCATATACAAGACTCTGGTTGGAAATAAATAAATATGTATTTCAGTGTTTTTGAAAATTTTTTCTCTAAGAGGGTTGAAAGTTGACAGAGTCTGTCATTATTGAAGTAAGCAGAATTAAATTTATTATTAAAGCTTCTCAGTATTTTTACTGACTATTTATTTACTAGCAATCCGTCTCAGCTTCGCAAGAGTGCAATATTTGTTTGCGTTTATTTGCTTGATTTTTGGCCTGTGTGAAAGCATTGCACTAATATTTTTTAAAATTTTAGAATGAACGGCCTATTTAGCTAATTGATGTGCGCGCGTTTATATAGTTCCTCTTATGCCCCTCATCATTGTACCCCGTCTACGATTCTCGCACGGTCAGCGTTTACGACAACGCAATAATTTTGACGGCTTATTATTTTTATTTCGTATTATCTTCTGACCATTAACATACTGTAAAAAGTAAACTTTATCTATATGTAATATCCATATTGATTTAGCTATTTTTTTTTCTAAAAATTTGTAAAGTTGACCTATACTTTACAAATTAAAAAAAAAATATAAATAAAATAACCTGTATCCAAACTTAATCTTGTAAAATTTATTTTACTGTTAATATAAAAACTATTTTTTGTTTAAGATATTATAATTAATCACATGGTGTCGCGGAAATTTTTGTAAAGCTTTTATTTCAAACCGATCAGGTAGCGCCCGTCGTGTTTTAGAAATTTTGCTGACTTTAATTACATTTATTATGATTAGTTAATAAAAATATATACTTACTAAAATGAAAAATAACCTATAGCGTTTAGAGATAACATACCTTTCTAACGTGTGAAAGAATTTTTAAAATCGAATTAGTAATACCGGAGATTACACCAAACATCTAAACTCACAAATTTACCTCTTTATAATATTAGTATTAGTATAGATTTTAATTGTTTATTTATTAGCGAATATTAAGTTTAGTATACAAATGCTTGTTTAGAATGTAGCATTAAGCATTACCAGAGGGAGACTTTGTACAAAAGTCGATTGCTTGGGTATCTCTGTCCTATTCGTGTTTCAATCGTGAAGCAGTTGTGTTTGCATGGTTGTGTTTCGGTTTGAAGGGTAGGATATGGCGTGAATTTACTGGGTACAGAGAAATAACACCTGAGTCCTCAGGAATGGTAATGCAGGGGTATTAAGGGCGAAACAGTACTCTGTTATGTCTATGGTACTGCTCATATTTATAGTCAGCTTGTTTGCCATTCTAAGTTGTATAAAAAAAAGTTAACCATATACTCATTACAAATGTGAAACTGTTTGTTACTTTAACATTTCAAATATTCGTTTTGAAATTTGGTATATAGATACTATTTGAGATGGAGCAGGACGTAGTTTATTTCATATTGCGGTCAATTACTAGTAGGTATATCCTAGGTATGTGGACCATGTCGCAAGTAGCAACTATTTTTTTTATTAAACTCAATAAATTATCCC